AGCAATGCAGATATGCGAAAAAAAAAAAAAAAAAAAAAAACAAGGAATGTGTCTGTATGTGAAATGAATGAGAATGCTAGAAAGCATCAACATTGTGCAATAACTGAAAACGCCCAACAAGCAGTAAAGCACAAAGTTTCAAACACAATAAAAAATAAATTCAAATTTTCAAAAAACTAAACTATTTTGGAATACCTTGGTTGTGACACCCTACCCTTCTGGTTGCTCGAGTTGCCAGCTTTGTTGGCCTGAGTGTATAATAACAAAGCGGAGTTAATGATGCCCGAAAAAAATAGATGATTATAAAATGATTGTATAGCATATTAATAATATCTATTAACAGAGGGAGGAAAAAGAACCCAACCATACTGCTATAAGATAGCAGATGATGGCTATAGCTCAGCTAACAATTTGAAAACACGGGAGAGGAATTCGAACGCAACTATAGAATTGTTGCACACGGGGACTTGGGTGGGGTAGAGATGGATCATCGAAAAATACAGCTTATTACCTCCGTCTATTGATGTAAAAGAGAGAATAGCAGAAAATAGCAGAACATCCACAAGGCAAAATCACAAAATTTGCTCGCAATGCCTATAGAATCAGCCTAACAATGATCCTACGAGCTTGCATTCAAATCAGTAACAAGTAACGAAAAAGAACAAATCAATAGCAGAAACAAAGAAATATTAAACAAAGCTATAGAAAGGACTGACACTTGAGACTTTATGCACGGAACCACAACTTTCGTTCTCTGTTTGAATTGGCGTATCATGGACTATTGTAATGCAAAGAATCTTAACAGACTGCTGTAGTTCTGCTTTTTGCTTCCAAAGTGTGGGGTTGTACATGGGAGACTTGAGGTATTTCTATTATTCTAAGTTGAGCACTTTGATCGAAGAAAGCTTGTGTGCTTTGAACGAATCCCATTAAAATTATAGCTCAAGACAGTCACGGAAAGATGTTTTGAGCAAGATTTTTTGTTTTTTTTTTTTTTTTAATTTATGATAACATTGAGGAAGCAGGAAATCTAATGAAACTTTATGCTGTTTTACTCTCATGAAAACAAATCTTTTTTAAATCAACAATTTCATTAGTCAGTGTAATAATCAGATTCCACTCCAACCGTAGTCATGATCAAAATTAAAAACTTCCTTTCGAAAGAAAATTTATGTTCAAAACAATTACAGATTCAAAATAAAATCTTAAACTATACTAAATTACAATAACCAATCCACCATGTACTCAAATAGAAACAATTCAATTTATTTTTCCACTAAACCATGCGTGATTATGTGTGTTCAGTAGTCGAGATTCATATCGGCCCAGAACTTATGCGTATAAAAAACAGAGGTCAAATCGGAGCTCAAAATAACGAAACAACCATAGCCGGATACGATAATTCAGAAACCTCGCAAGTAACCAGGGAAAATGTGCGCAATCATATATATCCAATCCGCAGTACATTTTCAAGATACAAAAGCCGTAGCAACTCAAAAAAAAAACACCATAAACATGCATACGTACTTTATTGTCTTCCTTGTTTCCAAACCCGCGCCGAGGGTTGGAGTCGGAGCGGGTCTGCTGCATTACAAGGATTGGGAATCGAGAAGCCAGCGAAATCAACATTTTACGGTCAATCAACAGCAGAACCAGTCGGAGTGAGAATCAGAACAGGGGAAAGAAACGAAATGGTGTCCGGCTAATTTTTATCAGAAAGCGAGATGGATTCTGTCCCCAATTTTTGCTCTCCGCGTTCGCTGTAAAATCCATCAACTGATACAGTCTAATTTAGTTTCTATCCATTTTAATATCCGACTTTAGAGATTCATAAAGTAACACGTTTGTATCTACCGTTTGAATCTTAATTTTTTAATTGGTCTCTAGTGTTTGATAATAGATTTTACCATCCCCAGGTAGAATTGATCATAAGATTTTTTAAACTTAGGCCATTAATTGATATAACAAAAATTTATATGGTCTGTTTCACCCTAATACAATCAGTCGTCTAATTATCAATAGCAAATAAGAAGCGCGAAAATTGGTGGTTAAGGTCCACAAACGTTCATTGTTGAGAATTGGGACGAGAATATCATTGGTATGAGATGCTTTGATAAAACCAAAAACAAAAGTATGAGAGTTTATATTCATTGGTTCGTGATTCCAACTATTTATTTGAGTGCTTCGTGATTGTGGAGATCTTTCATAAGACCAAAAGTAATATCGGAAGAGTTTATATTCAAAATGGAAAATATCATACCATTGTGGAGATTTGTGATTATGACTATTCAAGCGCTTCGTAATTGTGAAGGTCTTTCATAAAACCAGAAGCAAACTCAAGAGAGTTTATTTCAAAGTGGACAATATCAGACCATTGTGGAGTTTCGTGATTTCGACTATTTGGGTGCTTCGTAATTGTGGTCTTTCATAAAAGTAAAAGCAAAATCATAAGAGTATATATGTTCAAAGGGAACAATATCATACCATTGTGAACGTTCATGATTCTGGCTATTCAAGTGTTTCGTGATTGTGGAGGTCTTTCATAAAACCAAAAGAAAAATCATAATTTATACCACTGCGAAGGTTCATTATCCCGACTATTCAAGTGCTTCGTGGTTGTAGGGGTCTTTCATAAAACCAAAAGCAAAATCATAAGAGTTTATTCTCAAAGTGAACAATATCATACCATTATAGACGTTCGTATGCTTTGTGATTGTGGAGGTCTATAATTCCTAATCATCAATCATATAATAACAGATAACAGATGATTTTTCCTAACATATAAAGGCATACATAGTATTAAAAGTGGACACAAATTGATGCAATCTAATCATTACGAACAGTCATCTTCAAGTTATAAGAACAAGTAGATGTGGAAGAAACTCGACGGCAGCGACATTAATTCATGGAGACAACCTAGGCATTGACAGGGGACTTTAGACATCCCCTGTACTACCCTTTCCAGTCACTCTAGCTAGCTCCCGGCTTACCATCCAGAAAGCAGGAGCCTCTAAAACACATTTGTGACAAACAATGAGCCTTGTTTACCTAAATTACAGCTCAAATATCCCTCTTTTCAAACTAAAACAGAGGTTTTCCTATAGGCCAGTGAATACCTTTCTTGTATAGCCAATTTATCTCCCTGCAAACATCAACAGGCAACTCCTAGCAGCTATCACATATATAAGCATGCCTCAAACAACATATCAAGGTGATACCTCTTCATATGCACAAGAACTCACATTCTTGCCCACTCCTAAGTCCTAGGTACTTTCCATGGATATTAACAGAGATATTCAGATAGAATTGGTCACCATCAGAGCAGTATTTGAGCTGGAATATAAAAACATATACACTTAATTAAGATAGTAACCTGCCTGGATGTCCTTGTTCAAGATTTCTAAAACATTGCCAGCCTTCCTCACTTTCCCCTGCAAAAGAGAACAGCGTCATCTGGAAGAGATAATGTTTGATTTCGACATTCTTTTCATTTACCTTTATTGATTTCTAATGGATGAGAAAGAATCCTTGATGGAAATCGAAAATCATTAATCAAATATTAGCATTTTCTGAGTATCTAACCATAATCGATCGGAAAAAAACCAGAAAAATCCCGACTAACTAAAAGGAAAACAAAATCACAAAAGCGAACAACGACGTTCGTTCCAATTCAAGAAGAATGCTTAGTGAATTTACTAACAGAGCTCCAAATATTGGCGAGAGCCCCAAAAACATGGGGCATCACGGCGCCAATTCCATTCAAAACAGATCCAGAAGCCAAGCCTAGGGCAAAAGTCTGGGCATAGCCCGGCTTGGAGTCCAACTTTAGGTCGAGAATGGCAAGACGGGTATTAGTGGCGTCGATCTTCCTTGAGGTATCCACCAGGAGCTTGTCCTTTTTGCCTCTGCCGGAGGAGATGATCCTTACAAGAGCATTTTGAAGGTCTTCGATTACCTTGATTGAAGCATCGTGAGAAGTAAGGCCTTGGGATTCGTAGTGGGATACGAGTTCCTGTGGGGAAGGAAGCTTTCTTCTTTGGGCTCCTGAAGACGCCATGGGAGTTGCAGTATTGTTGTCTTGGGGGAGGGAATTTTGGGTCGCTGGTGAATTTGAATCCGCCATTGCAGCTCGAAACTGGGACGACAACGACGAAGCTCTTCCGATTTTGAGATAATGGCTCGAAACTGGAACATTAAAAATTTTCCTTTTCCTTTAAATATATAAATATATATATAATAGAAGGAGGTTTAGACGATATTGATGACCGTGACCTTGATACGAGGTTGGAGCTTCTAACTATGATGAATGTGCTAACTATGGATATGATGCCCGAAATAAACCGATTTAATATCACCCTGAAATTCGAATTAGCAAAAGCGATGTGATATCGTATATTTGATAACAAACCAATAAATCATAAATTCATGGTAAACAAGTAAATTAGTATATGATCTATTCTACTATACTAGACCCAAGTGCCCTTGAAAAGAGGCTGGGTTGAGGCCGTCTCACAAAAAGTCTTAACCAAATCACATTCATCAGGCGCAGTGATGCCTGTTCTATATCATCCGACGCGGATATGAGCAAGAACTCGCACCCTTCAAAATTCAAGTAGTCCGGCGGGTCTGCTGGGTGAAACCGCGTATGCCCAAACTCCCCTTGCAGGGCAGCCTTGACGTCTTGGACATTGGTTGTCACCATATCTACGAATCCCCGGTATGGTCGACGCTTTCGGGCTGGGTTTGGCAGGCTTTTTCGACCCATGATCATGAACCGCAACAGGGGTTGCTTTTCAATGTTCACTTCCTAGGTAAAATAGGTAAAACAATTAAGTTATTAACATTAATATTTTCGTTAAAAAAAAAAAAGATTTAGAGATTTTAAGAATAAATTTAGAAAAATAATTTTGACATTTTAGGAAAAACTAATAGCTTACTTCATCATCATACAAAGTGTCTTGTAAATCTCTTCTCGATTGATTTTATAGGCGTGTTTCCTACGAAGGGTTGTATTGAACCCACTTCATATTCTCATCTATTTTGGTTATTAATTCATATTTAGTTTATTTGATTCATTAAATTTATGAGAATTAGTATTGCTCGGCATATAAAAAGGCTTGTTTAGTATTGTTTGGGGGTGAAGTTATTGTCATTTTGTATTGGCTGAGACTCTTGAGAGCAAAATTTTGTGATGTGAGATAAGGTAAACATCATTTTGGTTATAATCAAAGTAGTTATAGAGATTTTTTTTTTTTTTGTTTAATTTCTATTTGTGAAGGTGTGAATGCGATCCATCATACTCTACTTTCTACTTTCGATAGAACAATTGGGTATCATAGCATTTTTTGTTATGACATTCAGTACAACAATTGAGTATCATAATTTTTTTTGTTGCGACCTCTCCAGACACTACTGGACACAACAAGTGGTATGAGGTTATCGATAAAAAAGATTTGTCTAAGTCACTTCGTTTCTTTTTGTCCAAGTTTCTTCTCTTTTTGTCTAACTCACTTCCTTTTTTCTTTGTGAGTTTCGGGAATATCCCCATTCATAGGTCCGAGATCCACATCTATGAATTGAAAGGTCCGAATGATCAACTCTGCAATCAGTTGTTAGAATCAATAGGTCTACGGTGAGAGTTCCAAAAAGCATACTCCTAAAAGGGTGAAAAGGAGTGGAGATTTGGGTTAATGAATGAACCTGGGTGCGGATGATACTTGCATTAGGGAGTTGTTTCTCCTCCACCGCCCCTCTCCCCTGACTCCGGACGCAGAATAATGTACAAGCGCTGCACGTCGTCGGGGCCATGGACCTGTTGCTTTCCAACTTTGGGCCTGTAGAAGAAGAATATTTCTCCTCTCTCCTATATTATTCCATACCTCAAAGCGTTACTCCGTTTCCGTATGGTTAAAGAGCATGAAGTTATTGTTGGAGAATGAAAGTCTCATAGGCTAATTTAGGGAATGACCATGGATTTATAAACAAAGAATACTCTTTCATTGGTGTCCAGCCCAAAGCAAAGTCATTTGAGCATAACGTGGACAATATCGTACTATTGTGAAGAGTCGTATTCGTCTACCATGGTTTGTTTTGAGAAGTGTGCATTATTGTCCTAATCTTTTGTATGGCCTCATTGGTAATTCGAACTAACTCAGGTCTCATTAGTACTTGTTCACCCACTTCATCCAAGTACTACAGGGACCTACCGCTTCCTTTTCGTGCTTCAAACGGAATCATTCTAATAGTTGCTTGAAAACTATTGTTGTATGTGAGTTCCATCCGATGCAGTTTGGAGTCTCTGCTCCTATTAAAATCCAATACGCATGCGCGCAACATATCTTCTAGAATTTGGTTCAAACATTTTGTCTGACCGTCTGTTTGGGAGTGGAAAGCAATACTAAATCTAGGCAAGTACCTAAATGCTTTCTGGAGTCTGCGCCAAAATGTTGACGTAAAGCATGGGTCTCGACCTAACGCTATCGACACTAGAACCCCATATAGTATTACAATCTCTTTCATATGGACCCAATTATCCACTATATACCGGCCGACGATCACCTAAATTACTGTATATTCCTTCAGTGTTTTAGGTAGGCCTACGATGAAGTCCATAACAATATTTTCTCACTTCCACTCCAGTATACTAAGGGGCTACAATAATCTTGTCGTCCTCTGTCTAGGAATTTTACTTATTGGCACCCTAGAAACTTACTCACGAATTATGTTATGTTCTTTTTCATACTTCACCATCAGAAGTGTTTTTCGAATCTTGATACATCTTAGTAACTTTTGGATGCATAGAGAATGATGAGTTGTGAGCCCCAGTCAATATTTTGTTCCTTAGCTCTTCCACTGTTGGAACACACAATCGTCCTTGACATAACCGTCTGTAATCTAAAGATTTGGAGAAACGGTTCGCTAGACCCTCGGTTAACTGACTCAAAATCTTATATAGACTAGGATTCTTTTGTTGAGATTCAATAATCCTCTGTCAAAGTGTGGGTTTGATAGTGAGTCGGCCATTTGAGCTACCACTCCTTCAGTTACTACGACTATCTTGGCTCATTTGAAGTCCGCGTGCACTCGTGACTCTTTGAGTGTGCTATTTTCTGGCTTAAACCACATTGGCTTTTCCAGGGTGGTACTGAGATGTTTATGTCGTAATCCTTCATCAACCCTAACCACCTTCGTTGTCTCATGTTCAGTTCTTTATGGGTGAAGAAATACTTTAAGCTCTTGTGGTCGGGATAAATCTGAGTATTTTCTCCATACAGGTAGTGCAGCCAAAATTTAAGTGCAAACACCACCACGACCAGCTATGTGTAGGGTAGCTCTTCTCATAGTCCTTGAACTGACAGGACGCATATGCGACAACATTACAGTGCTGCATTAGTACGCATCCTAGTCCTTTCTTTGAGGTGTCACCATATATCACACATCATTTTGAGCTCTCTGGCACTTTGAGCACTAGTATCGATACTAAGCTCTGTTTTAGATCCTAAAAACTTACCTCACATGCGACGCTCCATACAAATGAAGCACTCTTCTTCATTAACTATGTGAGTGGCATGGCTATTCTAGTAAAGTTTTGTACAAATCACTAGTAATATCCCGCTAACCCTAAAAAACTATGGACTTAACTGTGGTTAGGCGATCCCACTTAGTGACCACTTCAATTTTGGTGGAGTCTACTGAAATTTCATCTTTCGACACCATGTGTCCTAAAAACAAGATTTGCCGTAACCAAAATTTGCACTTGAAAAATTTAGCGTACAACTTGTTTTCTCTCCAAATGATTAGGACCAATTAAAAATAATGTTGGTGTTCTTGATCTGTCTTTGAGTACACTAAGATGTTGTCTATAAACACGATGACAAACATGTCAACGAATTGATCGTCCCTTCATAGTAATATATTCATAATATACATAATTCACATCATTAGAGGAGCATAGTAAATCAATTTGATCTATGTATTTCATCCGTGTTGAGTTAATAATGAGTACTTAGATTAAATTTTATTATAATATAATTAATTCAATTATATTTAAATATTAAAATGAATTTATACCACCAAAAAAAAAATGCTATGAAAAGGTTATTAAAATTATTATAATTATTATAAATGACTCAATAACCTATCAATACTATATTATAACATTAAAAAAATTCAATTATAAATTAAAGATTCCACAATATTTTAGCTATATTAAACATATAATAAAACGAATTATATAACGATGTATATAAGCTATAAAGTTATACTCTATTATAACATTTATTATACCTACAAAAAAAACGCTATAAAATGTTCTAGACTTTTAATAACATGGGCTGTCACGACGTACAAAAAAATGCTATAAAGAGTTTATAATAACGTTTTCTATGAGCTATTATATCCATTATTTCTTGTAGTGATTAGTACCTAACACTAAGTTTTATTCAATTTAATCGAGCATATGGGCTAATTTTAAAACTTTCATGCTTTTTGACGTCAGGACAATTAACTTCAACTCTATTCATCTATAGATTTAATTCCTATAATATGCTCCATCATATCCTTCTAATAATGCCTACTTATATGGTTGGACGAAAATGAACAAACTAAGTTTAATTTTTTCATGACTGACTTGTACACCGAGTTAGAATAAATGTTGCACGCAGCGGCGGGTATCGTCCACTCGAACTGACCCCTAATGTTGGCAAAGATCTATATGCTCTCACAACCTGATTAACGATCGGAACCAAATAAAAGACATCCCAAGTTGGGTATTAGTTTAATTTAGTGTATGTGGTAATAATTATATGATGCAGAGTTCATAATGAATAGATGAAAAAGATTGGAAGGACGTGCCAACAAAAGCGGTGAACTCTAATTTTACAAAACTCATACCGAATTCCTGTATTACATATTAATCAACAACCTGACTTCAAACAAAATATAAAGCGCTCGCGGCGGGCCAGCGAGAGAGAAAGAGAGAGAGAGAGAGAGTGAAGAGAGTAAATTTAATCTGTTCATTGTGTAGGTCCTTGAAATTAAACATGAAAAGGAAGGCTGGAATTGAGTTGAGATCTGGATCGAAGCTGTCAGCGACGGCGCCGGTGGCGATCTGTAGAATATAAAGATGGTACTGTATAGTGAAATCAAATCGAAAGCGGATTGTGAAGGAAATGGATGGATCAAACAGGCATTTGAGAGTTGCGAGATGTGGAAGCGAAGTTATCTCCATCGTTATCGCTCAAATCAGCGTCGTTCAGATCTTCAATTTGGGCCACTACCTGATTCAAATCTAGCCTCCTCTCCACGTCTTCCTCGCAGCAACTCAACGCAATCTTCAACATCTTCAGCAGCTCGCCTTTGTTGCTCTCCCTAGCTCGCCCTAGCTCTGCATCGAACACTAGTGACGTTTTCTTTTCCTTGATCATGTTGTTTACCCAAGTGGCTAGGTCTGATTTCGTGTCGTGATTTCGTGTCAAGTAGTTCTCTGGGAACCTACCTGTTAGCATTTCCAGTATCAGAATTCCGAAGCTCCATACGTCAGTTTTCTTGCTTATACGGCCAAGATGAGCGTATTCGGGTGATTTGTAAGCCATCATTAATGTCTGTCCATGCTCTACATTAGCCACGGGGATTAGCCCGTAATCCGTAAGCAGAGGTTCTAACGATTCGTCTAGCAGCACATTTGATGATTTCAGATGTCCGTGTGGTGCTGCTATGCTTGGCAGCGATGTGTAGAGGTACGACATTCCTCTTGCTATGCCTCTGATTATCTTCAATCTTGTAGCCCAGTCAATCCCTGGCTCCTCCAGGTTGTGGTTGCCGTGCAGATGGCTCGCCAAACTCCCTTCATCTACAAAATCCGAAATCAACAGCTTCTCTTCTTTTCTGTAGTAATAAGCAACCAAGGGAAGTAGATTTGGATGTGTCAACCGGCCGAGGCGTCTCATGTGTTCATGAAACTCTTCTCTCCCTACGTTGTTCATATGCTTGTATCGCTTAACAACCACGGCATTACAGAGTATTGTTGCTTTGTAGGAAGAGCCGAATGAGCCACTGCCCAGGATTTCGGCGGATGCTCTGAGGAGGTCTTGTAAGTCGAATTTCTCCCTGTCGTCTCTCACAAATAATAGCTTCCCATGTTCTGCGCCTCTTTTAGCCTGCGCTACGGACGACTCCGTCGATCTGTATCCGTCGCCAACTACCGCCGTGGTTGGCTTAGAACTCATGTATTTGTTCTGATCCTCTTCTGTAACTCCGGCATTCCCCTTCCCTAATTGCAAGGCGGGCTGCCTCCTTAAATTCATTATGATGAAAATTGCAGCTATTACTGCTAATGTTACCCCCAAAATTATGACTATCACTGCGATTTTGAGTAGCCCTGCGGATGAAATTAGGGCTCTCTCGCATTCTGGAAAAGGATCCCCACACAGATCACGGTTACCTGTAAAGCAATACCATTCGTTATAATACATATACGAAGGAAGAGATGTATTTCTTACTTATAAACCTATGATTATTCTTTCCTCTCTTCGAACAAAGTACACCATAGAGCCTCTCCTGAGACCTATGGAGCCCTCGAACAGCTTCCCCTCAATCAAGGCTGGACTCCTTCTCTGGAGTCCTTGAACAAAGTGCACTCTTTGTTCGATACTTGAACTTATTTGGAGAATTCTATTGACATAGCTAAGTGCATGAGATGTTAGAAATAAGAAACCTAGGTATGATATGATGATTCGGTGAATTAGGGCGGTTACCTGCAAAGGAGGAAGGATCCATATGGCTTAAGCTACGAGGAATGGGGCCTTCCAATTCATTGTTGGAAACATTAAGTTTCTTCAAAGTAGGCATTTCAAGACGGGGGACTTGGCCTCTGAATTTGTTTCCATCAAGTCTCAATTCCATAAGCCTAGACAGGGAAGCGAGAGATGAGGGAATTTGGCCGTTGAATTCATTATTGGTCAAAAACACTTTCTTCAAAAATTTCATACCCGTGAAGGCATCGTCCGGGATTGCTCCCGAAAAATGGTTATAGGAAAGATAAACGGAGCGTAGATTGTGTAGTTTGCTAATAACAGAAGGCCAAGGCCCAACCAAGGTATTGTTCATGAAGCTCAGGGTGCGCATACGAGACAGAGAAACCAAGGGATCCACATTAACCTCCCCCTTAAGCCCCATATTCTCAAGCCGCAGCCCTCTAACATGGCCATTCAAACACAGCACGCCCGCCCAATTGGGCCTGTTGTTGTCGCAAGGAGGGACCTTGGGGTTCCAATCTCTAAGAGCCCTGGCTGAGGTCAAAGAGCGCTTGAATTCAAGCAGAGTTTCGGTGTCGGATGGGGCAGACAAGACGAGCACTAATGACGAGGACGAGAGGTAGAGGAAGAGGAAGAGGGAAGAAGCGGCGCTGATGGTTGGGGCCGGTGCGCGCATAAGCCCCGCCACGCGCACGCCCGTTGGCATTGGCCTTCAAGACTCTAAACCACCAATGTGGGTCACAATGAGCATATACACTCAACTACACCTTTGTGGAGAAGGCATGGGAAGCTAGGAAGTCCCTTTAAATGTGGAGAGTCTCTCTTTTAATTTCGAAGTTTAATTAACTGACTTGCATGCGACCTTGGAGGAAGCATATGGAAAAGATTGGCTTTCAAACAAAAGAAGGTTGGAGGGAATTGAAAGGGCTGGCTTAAATTCTACCCCCTCCTCCCTTCCACAACCTCTTCCCATGGGGAGATATCCAAGGCCAGCCTTTAAATTTTTTAGGATCTACCCAATTTCAGTTGCCTCTTACTATTATTCTATTTTCTTTCCCCTTTTTTCCCCTATCAATATTAGTATTTATCTATGCATTAATTGGTGGTCAATTTTTCTCCAAAACTAACATGTTTGTAGTTAACTAACCATACTTGGTTTAGTTAATTTATTTATTATGCCATGAATATGTACTTACCTCTCGTAAGGAATATAAAATATGATAAATATCGAAGTATTATGTGCATCATCTTGTTTGACCTATGATTTTTAATGTGGGATCTCAGACATGTTGTATGTCATATGATCAAGGGTTACTTCTCCAGCATGTCATGTACAAATATGTATACTATGATATTATTCACGTTTCTTTTTTTGTTTGTTAGCTTTTGGCAACGTGAGCGTGCACTAGCTCATATTTAGGCCTAGGGGTACGTTAACAACCCATCTAATGGATTTATATGTGTTTGCATGAACCGTGTCTAATAAGTACTATGGATCTTATCCTACCAGAACTCATGGAATATTCATGAAAAAGTAGGTTCCACCAGTCATGATACATATTGTATGTGGATGTATCTTCCGACTCTAATAGTGAAGCTATTTACTGAGTATTTGTAAATACTTACTTATGTTTAACATTTTTCTAGGAAAAGGCAAGGGACTTGGGGCCTAGGTAACTCTTAACTTTGCTTTTGGGCATGGGTGTGTGGTAAACTTACTTGACTTGATTCATGACCTTAAGACAACAAGGGTAGGTTCTTACTAACACGCATATGAACTTTCTCACTCCGGCAAAGGTGTGGCCATAGTTTGCCTGCTTGTAACGACCTTAAATTTTCTATTTAATCTAGGGTCGCTACCATATACATATCATGAACATTAAATGCAGAAATACTCCATTTAAACTTCTTCATAACATAAATTTTATCTTAAACTACAACCATGGATTTACATGTTTGAAAACATCTTTAAAACCAAACAACAATAAACTAAATGAAATAAATAAACATTTAAATTAAAAAAAAAAAATCTTATTCTAGTCTAAATGGAAGAAAATAAATGCATGTGTCACGGTCTTGAATTTCGATGTTTTTGCCAATGGTACTAGGATGTCTTCCTTTTATCTGAAATAGAAGTAGCATCTGACTTAGTATTTTAAGAAATATTGAGTAAGTGACCCTAATATTAGGGTTAAATGTAAGCCCATACAATTTCATGAATGAGACTTATCATAATAGTTTATTTTTCTATGGTGGCTATTCTAACGGGTAATTAGGATGTGTACTTAATTTTTGTACACATGCTTCACACGTACGAGTGTGGACCCACCAGTCAGTTCGCACATCTCCTGGACCCCCTTTCTGGTTGAGCGAGTATTCTCCGAATGCTGTTGATGCTGGACACTTGTTAGAAATAGCGACCGTCACGACAACATTATAATAAACATAATGAACATTTCCCACCTAGTAGTGTACGTGTCCGTACTTTCGTGAAGGAATATGGGTATCTTCCAATGCATGAACGCGTAATAATGCATGAGGTCCAATATTTTTCCATTTTCATTATTATTCAATACAACCTCGCTAGCGTCTTGTTCATATCATATCATTTCCCATGTCATTTCTCATATCGTTTATTATATCATTGATTGTATCTTGCATGCAAATGTCGGGGTTGTATTTCATGCTAGTTCTTTGTTTGCATGTTAATCATATCATATAGTTCATATTGTATACATATCTCATATCATAACATTTTCGTCTTCCGGATATAACAATTCTCATCATGCACAAATCATATCATGTATCATAACAATCACATAACATATCGGTTCACATTGTATCATATCATATTTTACTACATCATTCTCATATCCTATCATGATCATATCATTTCGTAAACACTTCGTGGTCATATTGTTCCCTAATTTATCATAGCCTTAACGTTCTTATACATATAACATGCGTATCATTTTATGAGCACAACTTAGTCATATCGTTTCCCAAACGCATTCTAATCGTATCATGAATGCATGTTACTCATATTGTTTTATGAACGTTTCTTAGCCATACTGTATTATATGTCACAAGCATTACTTATTATATGTCACAAGCATTACTTATTTTTTTAGTATGTTTTGTGTGGATGCATACACCATGATATGATATACACTTATTTCTTTCCTTTGATTTTCAATTGTATGAGCGTGTGTACTAGCCCATAGATAGGCCTAGATGGTACATATACGAGCTCGGTTAGTGGGTTCATGCACGCATATGTGAACGGTGTGTAGATAAGTATCACTCATCCCACCCTACCAAAAAAAATAAAATAAAAGTAAGTCCAGGGAATAATCACGATAAATGAGTCCCACTATGAATTATGTTGCAAGTAAATTACATTTCCAGATACTTTTAAATACTCGATATATATTTAACATTTTTCAGATAAAGTCAAGGTACATGGTACGGATGTAGTAGGATAAAAACATTAGTAACCATATAACTCTTAGAGGAAAGAAAATGCCAAAAAAAAAAAAAAAAAAAACGACAGAAAATTACATCCAACCACGTAAGTAAATTCAAATGTCAGAAAGCACCAAGCGCACGTGTGGCTTAGATTTTATGACAATCTTTTAGTGAATAAAATTGACAGTACGTACGAATTGTCTTTTCCTTTTTTTCCTTTAATTAATGATGGGGTCACGGTGTTCTAACCACGTTTTTGGTCGGACGACATATCACTCTCAACACTAAATTCATCCAAAGGTTCCTAAAATACATCATCAATATGTTAGGTGGTGAATAAGAAATAAATGTCGATGTCGATGTATTTAATTAAATTCTCGAATATTTATCACTAAGATTGGGGACTTGTCCCATTGGGGCTACGCCCAAGCGACTTGTCTTCCTGTCCTTTTTTTTTTTTTTTTTTTTTTTTTGTCCTAATTTGTAAAACAAGTAATTTGAGTATCTAAATTCGACCTTTGCTTATTGTGAATACGTTAAACGATTACGAAAAATGTTAAAAAAATGAAGTAAAATCTATATATACATGAGGCAGCGTATTGAGTTTGTTACATTTTACTTGTAGTCAATAAAATTTTGTAATAATGTGTAGAGGGACGTGTCGTTTACTTATTTATAATTTTTGATAAACCTAAGATTGGTAAATGAATTTTGTATTCGAAATTATACGGACACATTTGTATACTTATTTGGTGTATATTTGTTCTTTGTTTTGACAAAGAAATAATTTACATAATGTTTATCTTCTAGTCTGCATAGCAATCCACTTTTCGAGGTATGAGAAAACGAGTCGTTAGATGCATCCTTTCCAGGTAAGAAGTGTACAGAATTGGTAAGTCTGTTAATTATCATCTATATCACAATATATTCTTTCAGATTTTTTTGTAGACCCACGTTGAAATACATTGTTATATTTTCCTATTTCAACTCTGGAATTTTTCAGAGATTGTAACAACCCTATCGTCCTTGGTTCATCATAATCTACAAAGCATTTGTCTATTGACTCTCACTTGTTGATCCATCCGCAATTTTCTAACATATTACAATAACTCGTATCCCTTCCACTTTTGTAAGATGTCCCCATTATACTCTTTAAAATTAATGTACTTCTTAGTACCAACGAGATGCACTCATAAGCTTTTTGGTTGCCTATCTCTATTAAATCTTAGCCACTACGGAATCTACATCCTGAACAACAATAGCCGAGTGTAAGTTCAACGATGAGTGGGGCAAATACTCTCATATTGTTTTAGTAAGCATAAGATAGAACTCTAACTTTCTCATATTATCTTAATTCACGGGTAAAACACCAACTTATTCATATTATCTTAGTACTCAATCTAGTCATTTACGTAGGACATCATTAGACTTTACTTATGACGACCCAATTTTTCATGTTGAGTCATGACGAACTTGTAAAAACATAAATAAAAAAGGATGGTACAATTTTTTGCGTTTAAAAAAAATATAAATACATTATAATTACAAATATAAATTAAAGTTGGAATACATGGAGCAGAGTAAATAAAACAACTTAAAATATTAAAATAGTTAAAATATTGTGTAGCTGTCTCTGTATGGACCCTTCTCTAGATCCCCGTCCATCTTCGACAAACTCCTTCTTGTCATTTGAAAAATATGAGAAACTTGAATGGGTACAAAGATTTAGTAAGTAGCCTACTTGTAGGCTGTGCTTAGGGTGTGTCCTTAGGGTGTGCGAGGGTACCCCACTCTTTCTTATCATGTTCTTGTTCTTGACCTAGAGAACTTAGGCACTTAGCTTCTATTCTTGAATTCAGAGTTTCATCATGATCTAGCTCATGGATCTTGATCCTGAATTTTGAGTTCTTAACCTTGGTTTTGATCTAAGAATCATAGCTTCGAGGTATTGAGTTCCTGATCTTGAACCATATTCTAGTTTTTGTTATTTAGTACTCCTCTTGATCTTCATGACCTTGAAAGTGTACTGAATTTAGTTTTTTTGTAGCCAAGTTTGTTATTGTTTTGAGGTTCAATAAGATTGTCACATTAAATTTCCAATAGTTGTCATCCTTTGGAATGAAATCAAATTGATTTTGAGGTCTTAGCATTTGTGAACTAAGGGTTTGCAAATCCACGCACTTATGAGGGCTCTTAGATTCAACTGGTTAGAGTTTTCATATCAAAAGGTCACATGAT